AAAAATAGCACGAGAAAATTCACACCAAAAACACATAGATTTACGTGGTTCGGCAAATTGTCTATATCCACGGAGTTGCAGAGGATTTTACTACTTGAGAAATTTACACCACAATGTTTCAATTTACAAGAAACACTTATCTCAACTTCAAGGAATTACAAATTCGATGTATTCCTTCACCGTTGTTTCTTTTCTCGACGCCGCCAGTTTCTTTCGCCTCGGGCTTCTCCTACGTAGTGAAGAAGAAGAATGAAACAAGAATAAAAAACATCTTTTATTCTCTCCGCTTTGTCTTCTTCACCTTCTCACGCAAAGCCAGAAGAAAAAGAATATGGTATTCTCTCAGTTAGCCTTCCTCTCTTTTTCCCGTGAGTAGAACAGCCGAAGAAGTCATCGTTGCCGCCCCCTCCGCTGTAGCGTTTTTTTTTTCTAAGCTTTACACAGGAAACCGAATTGTTGAAGAAGTCTTGAAATTCGGTTTCCAAAAAAGGCAGAAATTCAATAGCAGAAAAAAGGGATAATTAATTCTCCTCTTTTGCTTGCTGGTGGGGCCAACCAAGCAAAAACTCGCGCCTCTTCCAAAGAATGGAGGCGGGAACGGTTAAAGAGGCGGAAAACATTAAGAAAATTTTGATTTTCTTAAACCGGGCTCCACCACAACATTTTTCTTTGCTCCCCATTTGGCTGATTCCAAAAATAATGCTTAAAATATTCATTTAAGCTCTCATGGTATGAAGAAGGGTTTTGAAGCTCTCCTTTGCTCTTTATGTAGCTGATTTTGACAGGAGGTTTAAATGCTTATTCATGCTTTCGTTTTGGATGTTTGGAGAAGATTGTGGAACTCGCCTCTACTCCTTACTTTGTCGGTTTCCAGAATAACTGTTTAAATGCTCATGTGGGTTTTCATTTTGATAGTTTTTGAGAAGGATTTGGAGCTTTGCCTGCTCCTTATTTTGCTGATTTTTGAGAGAAGCATTTAAGTCTTTATTTCAACTCTATTTTGGAATGTTTTGAAGGATAAGTCCGGAACTTTTCCCATACTCTTTTTGCTGCCCTTTTGTTGTTGGTTGCAGCTGTGGCTTCTTTATTTGTTAGTTGCGGCTGTGCTGTCTCTACCTATGAGCTATGTTGGTATTTTCCTTTCTTTTCTTCTGGTCGGTTGGGTTTGTTTCCTGCTGCACTTAAAAATTTTTTGGGGTTTTATTTTGAGAACTTTGAAGGGCTTCAACATGTTTAGGTGTGAGGATTTGGAAGCTTTGGGTGTTCCTTTTAAAAAAAATTCATAAGGTTTTGGTATTCCTTCTTTTTAAAAAAAAAGAAGAAGAAAGAAATGGGAGATTTGAGGTTGTGACATCTTTGTTTGTAAAAGAGCCGAGATTTTGATAGCCTCGTTTATATAATTTTGAAACTTCAATGCATTCGAATGTGGGGGATCCTAAGTTTTAAATGCTTCGCTTGCGACAACCTCGCAACTTTGTCGGTTTCATATGAGTTGGAATTCTTGGTAAGTTCGGCTGAGTTATTGAATTGCTAGCTGACCTGTATGCATGTGTTTTTGGGTAAGATTGCTGGCTGGCCTGTATGCATGTGTTTTTGGGATGGTTGGAAGGCCTGCTTGACTGCGGTTTGATGATTGCTGGATGGCCCGTTTGCATGCGGTTTTTTGGAGTTTTTCCTGGATTGATTTGGTGGTGCATATGGCTGCAGTCTTGGGCCTTATGTGAATGTTGTATGGAAAGGTTTTGAGCATTATTTTGGGCTGCATTTGAAACCTTTTTGGTAGCTTGGTTTACTGTGGTTTTGCGTGGTTTAGGAGGCCTGCCTTGCTGCGGTTTAAAGCTGATTTGCCCAATGTTTGGTTGCAATTTTGAGCTGCAGTGGAGGCTTTATGTGGTGATGTTTGGCTGTTGTTTTGGAGGGGCTCTTGCCTGTGGTTGGAGCTACGGTTTTGGGGAATATGGGGGCTGTTTTGCGACCTGTCAGGCCACAGTTTTTAGAGTTGTCTTGCTGCTTAAAAAATGATGTTTCGGGCTTCCTTGAACATTGTTTTAGTGAAGCTTTTGGTTGTTATTGAGATGTTCCCACTGCGGTCCTTACTCCCTGGTTTTAGAGGTGCTTCCTATGAGGATTTTGTGATTTTTTTCCATTGAGATGTTGCTCCTTGCTATTGTCCCTGGCCGTGGGCTTTTGGGATCCGTTTTCCGTGAATACTTTTGTGATGTTCTTGTTCCCCTGCTGCCCTAGTCGTGGCTTTAGAGGTGTTTTCTGCAGAGATCTTTGTGATATTCTTGTTCCCTTTGCAGACCCGACCGTGAACCCATAATTTTCCTTTGTTGTACTAAGTTTGCCCCCTCTCATTCCTCACTTTCTCTACAGCCTTTACATGAGAATTATTGGTGTCTTATATTGATTTCGGGAGGGACTTAAGTTGTGTTTGTAATATTGGTATATTGGAAGTTTCGAATGAGCTTTTCAAATTCAAATCACTGGATGTTAGGAATTGTTTTAGATGTGGTTTTGAGAGCTGACCTATCATTCACTTTATTCTCTTTCAGGTGGATTAGTCCCTCTCCTTTCTCACCCTATTTTTCTTCTTCTCTTTCATTTCTTCTTAGTTTGATTTAAGTGCTTATGTTTGAAATATAAGTGCGCATATATAGACGTGACTATATATGAACCATCAAGCAAGACTATAAGTTTGATGATTTTTTTTGGGATTTAAGAGCCGCGATGACAAAGACATCCGGTGATAAAGCATAATAATGTTGCATCATACGGTATCGGGACTTAACCTAAAGATCCAATGAAATGTAGGATGACAATATTATTCACCGACACTAGACTAGCGATGACCCTTGTCTTTTGAGGTTGTTGGCGGTCCTAACCTGACAGTATAATCGACTCGTGGAAGATTTATTTTACAAAATATACAAATATGACGATATAACATATATTTTCTTTATAGCATAAATACTTTCCATTGTTAAGTAAAAGATAATTATTTTTGTCTATATGCATGACAAACCACAAGCTTTAAATGATATAATCTAATCGTCCACTTGTCAATTACCTATATTGGGCTAAGAATTGCCCTCCTAAGATTGTCTTGAAAATTTCTAGTTGAATGTCGGGCTTTATATAGATGGATGACCGATAGTTGCATTTGGAGTCCTTCGAGAATGTTAAAATCTGAGCACACCATGAACTTGAATTCTTATATAGTTCACTTCGATTTTTTTTTATGGTTTACTTGTTCTTTTACCCATTACTTGTTCTTTCACGTACCACTTGATTCTTGTTTTTACATATACATGCATGTTTGTCCCACCTACTAAATTATTCAATATACCCGTTTACATTTAACTGCAGCACTAACCGCATTTGCAGGAGCAGCAAACCCAATAAGTACATAGGTTTATTTTATATTTACAGCATTTTATCGTCTCTACTGCAAATTTCATTGTTCTTCTTTACTGTACATTTTACAATCTTTTCTTTACTGCTGCTTTTCCTTTACTGCACTTCATTTTTTTATTACACTCTATATGTTTTACTTGTGCATACTTTAATATACATGCAAGAGCCCTTAGGATAGAGATCAGTAGGACATATGCTAGGAGATACACCGCGGCAGACCACTGACCCAACAATTCCATGTACACTTTAAACCTTATACACGAAACTGCTACGACATGAAGCATGGAGCAAGTCTTTATGGGCAGCACGATGAAGTCGTAGAAAACAGAGGATGACGATCTACAACAGTAAAACAAGTCTACAGTAGTTAAACATTTCTTTAGTTTAAATAACAAGTCATAGGACTTCGAGGTGGTCTGCCTAGCGCGACATAAATCTCCATCCTATCTTTTAAGGTTTTACATATTGTACAATATAAGCCCTAACTCACCTTAGCATTCTGAGGTCATCGTCTGATACGACGTAAATCCTCTTATCTTCTAGATTATTTGCATAGTTGGGTATTATGCAAATGTAATTCCTATAATTAATAAT